TCACCAAAATTCGTTGTTGCTAGTTGTTTGAAGATGTGCCATTCTCACTGGGGTGAGGTGGTATCTCATTGTCGTTTTAATTTGCATCTCCCTTATTGCAAGTGATGTTGAACATTTTTTCCATATGCTTGTTGGCCATCTGCATTTCCTCTTTGGAGAAAGTCTTTTTAGCTCTTCTGCCCATTTTCTGTCGGTATGCCCATTTTTTGATGGAGTTGTTCATTTTTGTTGAGTTTTATCAGTTCTTTGTATATCTTTGTGATCAATCCTTTATCATTAGTATTGTGTGAGAAAATTTTCTCCCAATCAATGGGGTGTGTTTGTTTTGTGTAATGTCTTTTTGCTGTACAGAAACTCTTTAACTTGAAGTAGTCCCAGCTGTTTATACTTTCCTTCACTATCATTGCTTTGGGTTCAGTATCTTTAAAGATGTTACTGAGTTGTATGTCATATAGTGTTTCGCCCACCTTTGCTTCCAGGTATTTTATGGTTTCTGTTCTTATATCTAGGTCTTTAATCCACTTCAAGTTGGTTTTTGTGAATAGTGTGATAAAATGATCTAGCTTCCCCCTTTTTTTTTTTTTTTTTTTGGGCATTTATCAGCCCAGTTTTCCAAGCACCATTTGTTGAACAAACTCTTTGTTCCATTGCATCTTTTTTGCTCCTTTGTCAAAGGTTAGCTGTCAATAAACCTGTGGGTTTATATCTGGGTTTTCTATTCAAATCCACTGGTCTGTGTGTCTGTTCTTGTTCCAGTTTTGATTAAAATAGCTTTGTAGTATTCCTTGAAGTCTGGGAGTGTAATGCCTCTGTTCTCTTTCATTTTACTCAGGAGAGTTTTGGGTATTTCCAAATGCGCAAAAGTAGATGACTGGATTAAAAAGATATGGCACATATACACAATGGGATATTACCCAGCCCAGAAATCAAAAAAGATAAACTCAAGCGTTTTGCAGCAACATGGATGGAGCTGGAAGGGATCATGCTTAGTAAAATAAGCCAGAAAGAAAAAGAACAATACTGGATGGTTTCACTCATATT